AGCAGGATGATAGTTCACATTCTACCACTACACGCGAAAACACTAAACCTGACAAAGAACGCAACATTTTGCAGGAATACTCTGTTTACAATATGGATAGGGTCGGTATAGTGAGCAAATTCAAGGAAAACTTGATAGCATATCATTCTTCGGTATCACACTGAGTGCTTCCTGACTGTTTCCAAGAACCATCTCACAAATCTGACAATAGCCTGGTGCTCCTCGCAAATTCAGTGCACAACTTGAACGTATAGTTAAAGGTAATAGCCGTGCACCTCCCCTAGCTCTAGTGTTTGTTTTCATTCATCCGTCTTTCGAAATGAGGCTTAAATAAAAGTTTTACATCAGATATATTGACAAAATTTGTTACATCGGAACCTAGGAGACTGACTGGTTAGATTTCTTTGCTAAAATTAGAAACGCTACCCCAACATGTCTGTCATACCGGTACAGAGCGCTCAATGAAGTTGATTGCTTCCTCGACACCTAATTTGTAGTACCGCTAGATGGGACCTAAACCACAGCAATACACTTCAAACCCATGGTGCCCCGATTATACCACAGTTTGCGTCGGCATACCCATGACTAAACAACAAGCAGTCATGGAATCTCAAATATTAAGAGCGTTGCGCGTTTCTTCTGGCCTTCAGTCGTGTGAGCATAATGTGTTTGAAATTGAATTAGATGGGAAGTGCTCCTCGTTTTCCATGACAATATACACCCGTAAAAATGAGTGTCCGGTGCCGCTTGTATCGCGCCTACTCGATGTTACTCCCCATCACGCCCAAAAAGAAGCCGTAGAAAGGTGAAATAAACGCATTATTCATATGTGGAGCACGTTTTCATAGGTAGCGTAATGTGAAAACAGGAATATACCACGCTACCACTGCACAGCGGAATAACTGCAAACAGGGGCGGGTCCACATGTCGTGAAGGGGGGGGGGGGGAGCACGCAACGCTGTGGTGTCCCCTAGAGTTTGGGGTCCCCTCCAAAAAAGTTATACCATTAAATTTTAAGATAAAAAGAATAGGTGCATTACATCCCTAGCTTTTTAGCCAAAGTAGTGCTAGGCAACTAGCTTTTAGCCTTTTTTTGCTCTTTTTAGCCCTCGTTTTCTAAGGGCTGCGCAGCATAACATGGGTTCCAATACTTAATATATTTATTATATGCATAAATGTGCCTGTATATACATATATATATATACATATGTATTATATATATATATATATATATATATATATATATATATATATATATATGTATGTATGCAATAGTAAATACGGGACCCCACGCAAACAATATGCACGACCTTAGAGCAGCATGACTAGCAGTCCTCATCCGAATTTCATTCTCGTTGACCGCTCTAGGAAATCCTAGGGTTCCGTTGAGGGTAAAAGTTCCTCATGTATGCGCCAAAGGGTTGAAAATGAAATGAAAAAAATGGGGCAAGACATCAAATCTCCAGGAAATTAAGTACATGGACATTTCAGGTGGGATAATCGGAGCGTAAGATTTCAGACCGGGTCATTGGACACCTCAGTGGCGCACGTATACAGAAGGTGCGCACATCGTTGCGAGGAGAAACATGACAGGCAAACACGTTAAGTATACCTAATGTCGAATTAAGTAATCGCATCGCGTGCGTAGTTTGATAGATGCCGCAGTGGACAAGAAACACTAGCTGTAAAGAAGACATTTTAACGCTAGGAGACAACTATTCATATATTTAAATTGTTGCGCGCAATCGTCAACTTTGTTCGAGACACGTAACCATGCATCATCTTGGGACGTCACAGCGTTCAGCGTCGCAGCGTTTTTCATGTGAAGTACATCTAGAAATGGCGCTTTAGTCATTGTTTTGAACGCCTTGACCTAATTCTTGGTACTGACCATCTATTACTTCAAATTTAACCGTCTGTGTTTCGACCAGCTTTCCGCGCGTGCTGGATATGGGGTATTTTCCAATACTCTGGGTCCAGTTACACAGGGTCTTTGGTGCTTCCCATTCAAATGGAGGGCCCTACGCTCTTGACGGGGCCCTATATATTAACCTGCTCTGGCGCACTCGATCGGTCAGAGCCCTACACATTGCGTCGTGAGTATTTCTTATTTGAATGGATGGCCCTATGTTGTTGGGGGACCTCATCTATTCAGCTGCTCGGGCCGGCGACGAAGCAGAGGGTCGGGGGGGGGGGAGGCACGGGACCATGCCCTATGAACCATGCCGAGGTGACCTAAAGGCTCCGAAGGGGCCCGTAACCGGCCGGACGGGCGCAGTTTTCTTACAACAAAGCCAAAAAACACCACAGAATTGGATGTCTTTCGGCCTGCAGACGACCAAGAATCATTGTTAGCAAGACTAAAGAGTTCACAAGCAAAGTTTATTCTTCGCTGATTGAGAAAGTGTTGATTGGGGGAAATTATGTGGCCCATTACGCTGTCTAGATGCAGTACGCTGTTGGTTGCCCTGGCCCTATATGTCCACTCGCCGGGTCAATCTGATCGCCAAGGAGCTTCCATGACGCCCTTGATCTCTTTGCATTTTCTCATAGGGCCCAATATGCTGTAGGGACGATATCTGCCTCCATGCCTGAGCACTGTTGATCGATCAGGCTTCCTCCATGGATTCTTCCCATTCGCCCGAAAGGCTCTTTACACCTTTTTCCGGGGGTCCCATATGCCAGGGCACACTCGGTTGTTCAGGGGGTAGGGGCAGTTAATATAAGTCTCGGATTCTTTCTACTTGCTTGGAGGGCCTTGTGCTGTTGCTAGGGCTCTTATAAGGTAAGGCACGGGGATGCTCACACTCTCACGCTCACGCTCGCATGCTCACACTCGATGCTCAGGGGCTTTCTATTTTGATCGAGGGTTTTCCCCCTTTGGTCTCATTTGCGGAGGACTCTTCACTCCTATCGAGGTTCGTGTTGTTAAACTGCCCGTGCACTCTTGATCGCACAGGAGTATTTATTTATGGTCTTGGATGACTCCCATTTGTTTAGAGGGTCCTGTGCAATGGCCGGCGTCTTACATGTCAGCCTGCCGAGACACTACCGATCGTTTAGGGGCCCACCACGTTGGTCTTGGGCTCTTTTTGCTTGCTCTGAGGACCCTATACTTATTGACGGGAGCCACTCTGTTGGCCTCCTGCGGCACCCATGATCGCTTATGTTCCATCCCTAATGACCTCGGTCTCTTCGTCTTAGAGCGGCAGTCGAATGTGCGCCGATGAATTTTTACGCACGATTGCCGAACGCAATTTTACATGAGAGCAGCACTGCACTCTTGATCGCACAGGATTATTTATTTATGGTCTTGGATGATTCCCATTTGTTTAGAGGGTCCTGCGCAATGGCCGGGGTCATATATGTCTACTAGATATAATATATAATAATAATTATATAACAAGTAAAAAGTGCAACACATAATATATAATAATAATTATATAATATATAACAATAATTATATAATGTAAATAATAATTATGTAATATATAGTGATTACTAATATATGAGTAATGTGCGAACCATCTTTAATCTAAGCGATGACGCAAAGTCAAGGGCCCGGAAACTAGAATGATGCATCAAAAAGTTCGTCAATGCTGAGTCAGCAGTTATTTTTAATCAAACATGTATCAAAGAAAGAATTCTGCCAAAATATTCCCATATATATATATATATATATGTGTGTGTGTGTGTGTGTGTGTTGTGTGTGTGTGTGTGTTTGTTGTGTGTGTGTGGTGTGTGTGTGTGTGTGTTGTGTGGTGTGTGTGTGTGTTGTGGGGTGTGTGTGTGTGTGGTGTGTGTGTGTGTGTTGTGTGTGTGTGTTGTGTGTGTGTGTGTGTGTGTGTGTGTGTTGTGGTGTGGTGGTGTGTGGTGTGTGTGTGTGTGTGTGTGTGTGTGTGTGGTGTGTGTGTGTGTGTGTGTGTGGTGTGTGTGTGTGTGTGTGTGTGTGTGTGTGTGTGGTGTGTGTGTGTGTGTGTGTGGTGTGTGTGTGTGTGTGGTGGGTGTGGTTGTGGGGGGTGTGTGTGTGTGTGTTGGTGTGTGTGGTGTGGGTGTGTGTGTGTGTGTGGTGTGTGTGTGTGGTGTGTGGTGTTGTACATATATATTACATAAAGCTTGCCTTAAAACTTAATGACCGAAATGCAAGGAGAGTTGTTTTTGGAGGGAGGCACCAAACCCCAAGGGGGCCCCACATTGTTGCGTAGCCCCCCCCTGACAAAATCCTGGATCCGCCCCTGCTCCCCCCAACCTACCAGGCAACTCACATAGCCGGCTCGGTGTGTTTACCAAGATGGCGGCGGACTTCACGAACCGGTCAACAGTTGTTTTTCTATCTAGTACTATCAATATATGCGTGCCCTCCACAGCACGGCTCCGGGCCTGTATCTCGCTGGCTGCGACGGCAAGTGCTGCCATCTATACAGATTCGTCACCACTTATTCACCACTTTTTACCGTCAGGCAGCACATTGGAAATGTACATCGCTGTTTTTTATCAGGCAATATCAAACGTCTCTACTCGATGTCACACTGCTGTGTTTGCATATGTCACATAGGCGCACAGTATGGTATCGGCACATGTCACAGCTCACAGGCACCGTAGACTGACTAACGCATGCAATGGGGCTTACACGACAGGAGCGCTCGGCTTCCCTCATCCTTGATGGTGCGGAGCCATCGCACGGGTGACCTGTATATGCCCAACAGCAGTAAAACTCGACAACCAGTCAGATGTCGTAAGACGCTGAACTCGAAACTAGATGCGGTTATCAGGAACGGATCACCGGCTTCGTTCAATCTGCGCCCGAAATGTCAAGGTCTTCAATAACAATGGGTGTGTGAACAGGGCTGTCCTCTGCCGGGAAGTAAATTGGTTCAGCGGAGCAGTTTGGATGAATCTTTGACGCTGAAAAGGGAAGGAACAGGCTATGATTCTGGAACGTGTTTTGTGTTAAAAAATCCTGTGGAAGGGAAGTGGAAAGTGCAGTGTTAAAATATTGACGTTACACAGCTTTTGACACTCATCCCACTATTGCATAATTACTATTAGTTGATGTTTTCTGTTTCAGTGCAATGACCTAAGAGGTGAAAAATTGTCATGTTTACGATATTACGTTCACACGAGGTTAAAATGTATGTCTTTGTTTACAGGAGCACCCTTCACTAACTCAAATGTTTCAGCCTTTGTGAACTGAATTTTTTGCTTGTTTACGGTCTGTTTGTAGTGAAGTTTTTCACTCCCAACCGAGCTCGAAAGATGTTCTAGTTCACTGATGCCGAATGGAGGACGCTGTACTTTGCCAGCTTTTCCTTGCCACATTGTCTGTCCATGCCGCGTTGTCCTAGAAGAAAGTTGTATTCCAAAATTATTTATGGTTGTCTGGCTATGATCACCTTGTTATGCGTATGCTTAAACGCCATCGCGTCATCACATCGTCCACGAAGCCTGCCCACTGCATCCGCCTCAGACTGTGACAGCCGCCTCCCACCTTCGTCCAAGGTCACTGGCGGAGCCGGCTCGGGACGAGCGGGGCTGCACAGTGCGACTTTCACCGGCGGCTGGCGCACATGTGCCGGGGAGACCGTGTGCACGCTTAGCTACGACGGCCGGTCACGCTGAGGTCAAGGGGCCGTGATGGCAAGTGGATCAAGTCACCCGATGAGGTGGCATGCATTAAGATGTGACCGTCGTTGCACGGACAACATCGACCGTAGAGTGTGGCGGAAGTGACCGCGATAGGCGATGCAGGCTGGTTATGTAATTCCGTGCAGAAGCCGGGATCTCATATGCGTTGCAGCGTCGCTCGCAGTTGTGTTGGTGCCGTTGAGCGAAGCTGCCAAAATCCCGTTTGCGCTCTGAGAAGGTTTGTGGTGGTGAGGTAATAGTGATGATCAGTGACGGATATCGCAACACTCACCCTTGAAGATCGCGGCGTAAGCGGAAGACCATCATTCGATGTCTGTTCTAATTTGGAAGAATTGAGAGAGGCTCGCAATGTAACATCTCCGTAAGTGGACCCATCTCTAAGTTATCATCTGACACAGCCGTACATGGTTATTCCTAGTTCGAGAAAGCTCCCACTCACCGCTAACCCGGTCAAAGCGCTGATTCTGCCCCCAACCTCCAGCCCCCTTAGCTCTTGGGAACATCTGTACCGATGGAGAAAAACGAAGCTTAACTTGATTTCTCTGAAACCAATCTTTATTTTGTAACAAGTTATCT